ATTTAAGAAGTAAAAAAAGATAAACACAATTATATATATAGTAATTTTAATTAATATTTCTATATATTTTTAAGACAATAAGAGACTAAATCCGCACTTGAGCTTCACGGCCCAACGACCTTAAGTCGACTTGTAAGGTGCATTCCCAACTCGAGAGTTGAGTTAGAGTCCCCTCCCTCATATTTGTAATCTTGTTCAAAAAAAAAAAAAAAGAGAGTAAATCCACCTATAGTTACATCATAGCATTGATAAACGAAACCTTGGTCTTGGCTAACACAAACTTGTTTTATATATGGCAATAAGGATGATGAAGGCGAACTCAAGTCCTTGGAATCCTCTGGGATAATATCAAGCAGTAGCTAAGGACCAGCATATGGTTCCTCTTTCTTATGTACATTCAATACTCAATCGTCAGCAAATCAGACCGACGAGGTTGGCCTGTTGGACTGACCCAGGCTGCCTAACCAGTTGTCAAGCCGATCAAATCAAGTTAGATCTTTTCCCATTCCATAACAATACTATCTTGGCCAGTTGAATTAACACTCCTGGCACAACATTGCCAAAAACTTGCAGAATTTGGGTGTAAATTTAGGATGCTTTGCCTATGAAGTATGAAGATCCAGAAAGGTCAGTCCTCTTTTCCTTTGTCGTTTATTTACTCTTCTCTTCTTTGGGGTTGAAATTATTACATGCTACAAAACAGTAACCAACAAGAGAATTGAATATTATGTGATGTCACATGTGGGTCTAGTGACTCTTGCACGTGGGGGTCAGCATCATCACCCTGAACATCCAGCTTGGGAATTCTAGGATATAAGCTACTAATTGCTAGTTCTAGAAACGTTGGGGGGACAATGGCCCTTCAGCTTGGAAGAGATAAGGGCCCCTACAATCCTTCCCATGGCTCTCTTCCCCACCTGGGATTGAGCCATGGTCATTGAATGTGACAAATCCTTTGTACATGCATGTATAGCTTAACCAAGTTTTGTCAACGACCTATGTCGACTCTGTGAGGTCGTGATCGATGTTAATTCCACCCGAAGAGACGGTGGTCACACGGACCTCTTTGTCTTTGACCCATTGACACAGTATTTATCAAAAGGTAGGTACTTCTTAATTTAATTAAGGATTAAGGCATCAACTCGTCAAATTTAACTCTCAAGAGGAATGTAAAAGAACTTAAAAAGGTTATCTTTAGTTGTGTAACTCGTCCTAAAAATTTGTTGCAAATGCTAAGCTCATGTTAGTCAGATCATCGGAGGATGGCTGTATCACTTTGGACCCAAAGGAAACGGAAAAGGAAAGAGCTGGAGCTGGCGTGGGCCATGATAAGGTTGGGCTAAACACAATCTCAAATCCCAACAAGGTGAACTATTTGGGTGGGTTGGCAAACTGCTGCAACCATGCCAGGAAACTGGGCCATACCGGTTTTTGGTCTATCAGGACCATCCTGGTTTTTATTTGGTTCTTTGATAAAAACAACGCTTTTTATTTGGTTCTTCGATAAAAACAATCTTTTATTTTTTCAAAAGGAGAAAGTGTTTGCCCATGTGACCTCAGAAAAATTAAGGGTAAATACACTTCAACTAAAGTTATTTAAATAAATTTTCATTAAAAAATTAAAATGACTTATTTTTAAATTAAGAATGTATTTATTTTAGTCTTTTCAATACTATTTTATTGAAAAGACATAATCTTAAGATATATTTTTCTCTTTTTTTTCAAAGATTCAATTGATAATATTAACTTCATTTGAGATATTTTTTCATTTTATATTTGATTTTGTATTTCTTAGGGTTCCGGCTAAGACCAATTCTTTCTCATACAATTTTTAGTGTGTACTCTTATATTCTCATTTGGTACATTCAATAAAATTAAATTTCCTCAATGTTGCCATAATTTCAAATAAATGGTGATTAAAGCAACAGTCTTCATTGGTTGATGCTATGATGTGTTGTAGTCATAATTTTTTGTTTTATTTTTCTAAAACTATATTTTGTTTAATTTTAGTAAACATAGTTTTTTATCTAATAAAATAGTGATGTAATTATTTATTAATGAAATTTTATATTTATCCTTAAGTGATCATTGCTTAAATACTATTTATTGTAATTACATATCTTTTTAAAATAAGGATAAAGTTAGAATAAAAGCATTAAATAATATCTTTAAAAAAAATTATTAAATTTGAACTCTCCAAATTAAAAGCTAAATACTCTAAATTTGATTGAATTAATAAAATTATATAAAATTAATATATTTATATTTTTAAATAAGGTGTTGTGCCAACTATTCAAGTAGTTTAGTATAAAATCTTTTTAATAAAAGTAAGAAAATTTTAAATTCAAATTCGTACCATATATAAATAGAATAATTGATGAGAAAGATTTTCTTCATTGTGCAGCCCAAGATTCAAAAAGAAAGGGTTTTGTGAAAAATAGGTGTAATTATTGCCACTATAGAAATTGTTCAAGACACCAAAATATTAATTTTTAAAATAGTGTTTGAAAATATTAATTTTTTTAATAATTATAATTTTTTTTAATAATTATAATTTTTTAATTATTAATTATAATAATTAATAATTTTTATCAATTAAATTAAATAAAATTAATAGTATTTTTAAAAGTACTTCCTTTATTTCATAATAACCGTAACCTTAAAAAAATTTATAAGATAAAGTAAAAATTAAAAAATGATAATTAATTTAAAATAAATTTAAAATTAAAAAATGAAAGACAATATAATTCAGTGATCATTTTTTTTTACTGAAAATAAGAAATTTTGAGTTTCGAATCATATGATATTTGGGTGGAGTAAGATAAGAGATGAGATATGATTATTTTTTATTATGTAATTAAGATAAAAAAATAAATAATAAAATTTATTTCGGGAGAGGCAATAATATTTTACAATGACGATGATCCCGTTGTACAAAAAACAAAAAAAAAATGATCCCGTTGGCATAACCGTCACCATGAAAATGTATGTGAAAAAACATACTGTACTAGAGGCCATGTTCCGATGAGTTCATTCGAGTACGTCCACATCAAAAAACAGAAGAAACGGACGCAAATTAAGAGCACATCAGATAACGTTAATTTAAGGAAGGATTGGATATTCAATCGGATGGTCCCACTTCCAGCTCCTCACTATTCTGATTTCCACCCCACGTGATCGGCGGCTGTTCTTTTAGCTCCTTCCCGAATCACCAGCCGCCATCTGTGCGTCGGAGGGTTCAGTTCACGTGTGGTGTGACTCCTAATAATGCAATGGGAGAGAGGAGAGACAAACAGGGTGAGGGTGGGGCCTGCAGAAGAGGAGGATGTGGGGTCGCGTTCGTCTGAGCCGTCAGCTTTCCAACGGTTGAGAAGATTGCAGAAATTGCGCGGGAGTGATCGGAAAAGCATTAATTCTGACTCTGACGCCTTTGCCACGGGTGGTGGACCAGCCGGATGGGGCACAAGTACACTATCTGATGAACGGTCCAGATATAACGCATATAATATCGGTTAGTGAGAGTTTTTTTTTTTTTTTTTTCCCTTTATTTTATGGTTTTTGCTATGAATAAAAGCTCAAACATAAGGAAATCCACTACCTGAAGTATTGTGCAGTTTGATTTAGTCTGAATGAGCAAGTACTCAAGGAAGAATTTAATGGTTTAATGGTTAAGAGTTTAAAAGTTAAAAATTTTAATTTTAAATTTTAAAATCAAATTTAAAAGAAATTAAAAAATAAAAAACGTTACTCCTCTTCTATAACTCATTATCATCGTATATATAAAACATTTTGAATGAGCTACACTTTTTTTAATTCTGTTAATTGGACTTTAAAAGGAGAACTATTGAATTGGGGAGAAACCTCCACATTTGGCTTCCTAATTCAATGATTAATTTTCCTATGGTTTAGTAGAGTATGAAGCATACAGAACACTTGGCTTTTTTAATTGTGCATTTTCATATTCAGTTGTCGTTCTTTTTTTTTTGGCCATTTTTTTTATGGCACAAGCCAACTGGTTGAACCCTTATGAGGGAGAGGGATAGAAAGCATAAATTAGGATTCAAAGCATAACTATATAAGTGAAGAGTCGCTTTTATACCAATAAGTTGACCAATTGCTTTACATGCCTTTCTCTTTTCTTTTGTGCCATTGATTATTGTCACTCTCACACCATAAAAAATAATTATAACATCAAAATTTTCTTGGATGCCAATCACCTTAGACTTGTTGACGAAATCCCATTAGTTCAGATTTGAGGTAAAAGAATTTTTTAGGAGAGAATTTTCTTGGTTAAAGAGTTTTTGAGAATTAGTTCAGTTGGTAAGATTTCATCTCTTCTATCGCTCCTTTGCCCATATTTTCTTCTAAATATGAATTGTAGGTGCGTTGTATGCCTCACCCTAAACTTAAAAGGAAAAAAGGTTGAGATCTTCAAAATTTTGCTAAAAATTTCACTAAAAGACTTCAAAATCTTGACTTTTACTGTGTGTGAATGAATAAATACTTGCATATTGAAAAGAATTGGAGATTGAGTCTATCTGATCATGAACAGGTTATATATGTCATAATGAAGTCAATCCATTGAAGAGTCTAGAGTCAATGAATTCCTTTTCATAAAAGTCGATTGAGTCTCTTTCACTCATCTGTTGAGTAATATGAATTTCGGATTCTATATTTCAAATGGGGAATTCTTCAATTCTCATTTGTATTCTGATTTTTGGTACAATCCCTATTTTATGCATTTAGAATTAGGTTCGAAGTCCATCTTTTCTTTTTCACCTTGTATGTCAATTGCTGACTCATCAAGACAATATATTAAGTTTATCATGCATTCAAACTCTATATTCCTTCTTTTCCCTTAAAAATTTTCTGACACATAACAACTATAGATATGTGTTCCACCTAGACACACTAATGTTGTTTGCATAATATATACTAGCAGCATGCATCATGCACCAAATTGTTTGTAATTTAAGTAAAAATCTCTGTCTTCTCCCTTATAATGATTCTCAGATGTATTTCTTCTACATGATATCTGTTGTTTTATTTATCTTATTGCTTGATCTGCAGGTTGGTGAAGAAAAACATGAGAGTTGACCATAAGAAAGCCAATGCTGTGGGAACCCATTCACTAAGCTGTGTCATGATGGGGGGCATCTGGGGAGGACTCACTATCTTATTTAACGGAGTGAGAGAGGAGAGACTATATGGTATTGGATGTTAATGGACAAAATTAACTTGCTTGTTAGTTATCTTCTGCTCTTATCCTCTGATTGCCTTTGCTTGCCTGTCAACATCTCTTATGTTCTATACCTCCTCCTACTAGAACTTTTTATGTTTTTATGTTTAAAATGATAATCCTAATTCCTAAGACAGGTGCCTTCTGATCCTTCTCTTGTTTATCCTATTTTAACACCTCTCCACTCTTTGCACGTTTGTTCTCTCACAATTCACCATGACACTACATACTTTGAATTAACTTATTTCTGTAGCAACCCTTTTTGACCAAATATAAGATGAAGATCATGAAGTTGTGTTGTGTTACATATACTCTGACTGCATATTAGAGTTTTACCACTTTGGAAATGAGTTGAATGAGTAGGGAGTGGGTTTAGGATAGAGGAGAGTTATTGTTTATTGTATGACCTTACGAGGAAATGACAAAATAGGGGAGTCATTATATTCAGGGAGCTTTAGGACAAGACAGTGAAAAGTTAGGATGTGATCATGATCACTCTGTGACTAAAGTCTCCTGTTTAACACCATGTCTTTTCTACAAACACAAGGAAGAGGAAAATCAAAAGAATCTGACGTAGAAAGTGAAAACAGGAATAGGGGTCATGATTAAAATTATGATTAATGGAAAGCTTTTAGAAAGAGAGTAGTGCTGTTGTTAAAGATGCTTGCTTTGACTGCAGTTCTACTGAAACTTTACAGTGCCCATGGAAATACGGAATAATATGAGCAAGCAAAAGGAGGTCAGAGCTTTCCCGACTAAAAAGAGAAAAATATACATAAACAAATGACAAAAACTAGCAAATTATCTAGATTCAAAATGCTCCTCTGGTGTCTCATGCTCACCATATGCAGAAATATACTATTACAGCCCCACCAAACCGTCCAAAAGCCTTATCTTTAATACTTTTTCAAACCCATCTCAGCTCTTCCCAAATCATATTTTACTCAGTTTCCTTTTTCAAATACTTGTACAAATTCCCCTCATATCTCTATAAGCTTGTGTTTTTAACATAAAACCGTGTCAATACTGTTTTTCCATAGGATTTCAAGGTAAAAAAGGTTTTCATTTTTTAGCCCTATATAAACTCAACTCTGCTCTACTTTCTTGATTCCTTATTGTGCTTTCTTTGGAGTGTCTTTATGTTCATGCTTTCTTGAATGAGTTTTTGTGTAGCTTTTAAAGTTTCTATTGGATGGCCACTAGTACACTGGAAGACAAATTTCAGTTGCCAAAACTGACATTAGCAATGGTTATTTTTGTTCTTTTATCACTGTTTCCATGATCTAGAATTAAGAAGGATAGTTAGTTCCCATATCAGATTGTAATATATATCCGGTTTGGTCCAACTTTATTTCCTCTGGAGTTGCAGCAAATATTCTTCAGTCTGTTGGCTCCTTTTCCAAGCTTACCTGCAGGGTGGCAACTGGATCTGGGAAATTGGTATGCCCTTTTACTCAGTTCTATAATTATCTCTATGATTTTGATCTCCTTTCTCTAGTCATAATACAAAAAAGAACTTCCACTTTCAACATTCATGTATCTTTTTCTTTTGGCTCATGAATTCGTATCATTGAATTTGTAGGTACCATTTCATCTTATAATACTCTTATCCCTTTTCTAAGATATCTTGGTATCAAAAGTTTTCATCCATGGAAAGCTTGGGATGGGATGACTCACAAGTGGCTACTGATTCACTCCCTGTGTGGAGCAGTGAGCAACATGATATTGAGGAGAGTTTCATGATGTCTAACTCAAGTTCCTCAGTATACTGTGGCAAGCTGAATCTCGGAAAAGATATCTTCAATCCAATTGAAGAGCTCCAAAAGAGTCAGTCTCCTGATGTGAATTCAAATCCAGCAAGGATAACTGAAATGGTTCAGCAATCAGTTTCTGAGCTTGATTCTGTTGCCGTTGTCTCGAGCTTGAATTCATTGCAGCATCAAGAAGTGGTAAGGTTAGCATCAGATTCAACCCTTATCAAACCTGCAAACTGGGGATATGCTTTGACACAGCAGGGATTCTGTTCTACCCCTTTTGGTTCAGCCTCATTGAATTCTTCAATCTCTGATTTTGGCATGGCTGTTCAATCACAAGTCATCATTGGTGGCTTACAAGAGGGGAAATCCAATGGTTCAACTACAGGCTCTCTGGAGTCGCTTGATTACTTGCTCTCAGCTACAGCTACAAACAACAATACAGATACATCTGTCGAAGATGATGGGATTTCCATGATTTTCTCTGATTGTAGAAACTTTTGGAATTTTGCCTCCAATGATGCAGCTTCATCAGGGGAGTCTGAGAACAATGGCTCAAATGCAAGAAGTACAGATTTAGAATGTCCTGGAAATGAGATTGACGAAACGTTATCCCAGAGTTCTTCTGATCAGTATGTCAAGTCCGGTTCTTCAAAGAGGAGAAATGATCAATGTGATGAGAAACTTGGCATGAATTCTGGTTACTTTAATCTTCTTCAAACTGTTTCTTCTGTCACAAAAGGTGGTTTCAGGTTCATTCCTGACAGTCCTCTAAAAGCAAAGAAACCCAGAATAGAAAAGCGCCCAAGCTCATCAAACATCAACTTTCAACAGCCAGGTTCATCAGTGTTCTCTTCCATTGAGGAACCTGATGCAGAAGCCATAGCACAGATGAAGGAGATGATTTATCAAGCAGCAGCTTTTAGGCCTGTGAACTTGGGCTTGGAAGTGGTAGAGAAGCCAAAGAGGAAGAATGTGAGGATATCAACTGATCCACAAACTGTTGCTGCCAGGCAAAGGAGGGAGAGGATAAGTGAAAGAATTAGGGTTTTGCAAAGGCTGGTTCCTGGTGGGAGCAAGATGGACACTGCATCCATGCTTGATGAAGCTGCAAACTACCTCAAGTTTCTCAGGTCCCAAGTTAAGGCATTAGAAAATCTAGGCCACAAACTTGATTCTTTGAATTGTTCCCCTACAATAAACCTTGCTTTTGCTTCATTACCATTCAAACACTCTTTCCCCACGCAAGGCCATTTTCCAGTCCTAAAACCTAATGTCCATCATCCACAGAGTTGAAGAAACAAAGCCAAATCCCAAAAAACGAAACCCCTAACCATGGATCCTTAGTCATTATCATCAACAATGATTAACATCCTCAACCATTTTCTAGCCCCAAAACAGGTAGTAGTACCATTTAAAAGGCCAAGTCCAAAATCCTCATCTTAATCCTCATCATTACATGTTCTCTAATGGTAGGTTGCATGATGTACCATGACACCCACCACTCAATGGCAGAAGGAAGAGTTTGAAGGAGTTCTACTTCCACCATCATTTTTGCAGCTTCCACTGTCAAGGTATGAAGATAGTTATAGTGGAATAGCAAAAGGAAATGTGAGAATAGCTTAGCTATTGAAAAAAAATTACTACTAGTAGTGGCATCCTTTTCCATGAGAGAAAAGGGTTAGCAATTATGGCACCTATGATTAAGATCAATGGCTAGAAAGTGATTATCACTTTACCTTTGTTTTAATCATTTCCTAGTGATGTTCTGTGTAATTAAAAGCTCATTTTTCTCGGAGATCTTCATCTTAATTAGTTTTTTTTTTTTAATTTTAATTTTAATTTTAATTTTAATTAATTGTACTTTGTTAGATAGCCAATGCAACAGACATTCTCTTAAAGATTTGTGAGTCCTATGGGGAGTGGTCCTGTCTCCTTGATTCTACCCAAAGCGTGCTCTTGAAAATCACTCCCATTCACATTGCTTAGCACATGCATCTTTACGCTTCTTTTTTGGCAGGTGGAGTTTGTTTTGTATTAATATTAAACTCCTAAATCTCTGTTATAAACCTTATATTAATCCCTAAATTAATCATATCTTTGTGATGATGATGTGGGTTTGTCTTTTTCATGAATTTGAATATGGTATACTTGTGGTTTGCTTTGGCAGCTCTGGTTTTTGTCTTATAAGGGGGAGAATGGATTTTGAGTGGATCAACAGGGTATTTTTTAAATTTAGACATTCTGTTAGGAAAGGAACTTAGATCTTATGCTATGGATTTTATTATTATTATTGCTACCATTATTAGCATTTAAAAATGTTTTTTTTTTTTTTTGTTAACAGCTTGGACTATCCTTGTACTCTTTAATATTAGTCTTTTGTTTTTTTCTTTTTTGCTGATAAATAAAATTTAGGATTTAAGAATGTTAGTTTTTCAGTCTAGATGGTAAGAAAATGTGAATTTAAATTGAAATTGATAATATGTCCTTTTATAAGGGCAAAACTATATATTAAGCTCTTGAAATAACCCCAAATTTGTTATTGAACCCTTGGACTTTAATTATAATATATAAACTTTTAGATTCTACAATTTGAGCAATTTAGTTTTTAATTCTTTAACTACCATGCTAAATTGCTGTAAGAATAAGGGTTAAATTACTCAAATGTAGAGTTTAAGGACTTATATGCAATAATTAAAGTTTGAGGGCTCAATAGCAAATCTAAGGTTTTTTTTTTTTTTTTTTTTTTTTTTTTTTT